TCTTCTGGTTATGCGTGTATATGCAATTTATTCCTGTTTTGCTTTGACTTGCCAACTTTCTGGTTTACAGTGCAGTGAATGCTCACCAGTTTTTCACTGAAGAGAGCTGGGACAGTTTTAAGCAGATATTTGACGTCTACATGTTTGAGGCTTCAAAGGTTATTATATTTCCATTCCTCAGCTACTAAGCTGTGTTTGTTACAGATTATATGTTGGGAACATATTGGCAATTGCCTTGGTTGTCATGTTGGCATTTCTATTGAAATCATCTTCCTACCTTTGGTTTTACTTGATTACGTTGTTTTGATTAACTAGCATGTAACTAGACGTAACTAATCAAACAAGGTTGTGCTTAGGATCTATGCCTTTAATAGACCAAAAAATCAGGTTAATTGCTTTTTCTGAAAAGAATTAGACACCGTTATTTGACTATTTCTTTCTAGTGTTCTGTAATAGCATATGTGGAGCAGTCAGATGATTAGACTATTTTATCTTTTCCATGTTTTCTTTGGAAAGGGTAGTGAGTGTATTTTATGTTGTAATGGAGATGTCATAATGTTATATTTGTTTCAAGGCTTAGCTAAGTTATCAAAGAGAGAACTTCGAGCTTTTTGTTTAGGTATTCTATGATTTGGGTTGCAGGAATGGCTTGACGCAAATGAAGGCAGTGCTCTGCTTGAAACCTTGTACAAGGCTTTAGATGAGGTGAGGTACTTTTTTTATCAACATAAAGAGGGGACAAAGAGGGAAACATGGTCAAGTTGCTTAACTTATTAGCAGTGCAGGTTGTAAAAGTTGCTGAATGTGAAATCTACACTTACAATCCGGAGGCAGATGCAGATCCGTTTCTCGAGAAGGGAGCCATGTAAGACTTTTATATGAATATATCCTTTTTATTCAATTCTTTTTTTAACTGTGTCAACTTTTTGCATGAGCTTCCTATTCTTCAACTTTTCATATAAACCATCTCATTGAGGTCCTCTCTGACTACATTTTACGAAGTAGCCAAAAACCATGGTCAAGGTCAATGGCAAGGCAGTTGAACCCTTTGCTTTAGGCTCCTAAAACTAATAGGCTAGAGATTATTATGCAATTATTATGGATAGAAAGTATCAAGCTTTTTTTTTCTCTTGGATTTGATTGATGTTATCCAGATGAGCAAGTAAATTATAGTAAAATTTACTTATTAATTAGTACCTCCCCATCCAATTTTGATTTTTCCTCTTTGTCATATGTTTCTTTCCTTTTTCTTGTATACGATGATTTGGCTGTGCAATTTCATCTCATTTTGCCTATATAAACTATTTTTCTTTGTCCCGTTTGATTGATTAAAGCTGTAGTTCATGGTCATTTTCAAATTAAAATATTGCCCAAACACTTTGACTAAAAGAGTGACAGGATTTTATTTACTGGTCAAATTTCTTGTTATGAGTGGTAGTCCATTAACACAAGTCTTTGCATCTTTTCCAGATGGTCTTACCACTTTTTCTTCTACAATAGAAGATTGAAACGTGTCGTGAGTTTCCGCTTCAGCTGTGTGAGGTGATTACTCTACTCTTCCAATGTTCCAGGATGTGAGATTCTACTTTAAACTAGCATATATTTAGGCCTGATCCAACTGTTGTTTATTGCAGTAACTTGGTTGGTGAAGGACACCTATTAGACGACTCAAGTTTTGATGAAGATGGAGAGATATTCGATGGCATGGACATGTGAATACAACATTTTGTTCATAGCTCGTTGTTAGTGTCGTAAATCCTTGTACCTTGTATCGAATTAGTGATGTACAATTTGACAGTAGGTACTGAAACTATATCGTAAATAAGCATCATCCTTGTATCGTTTAGAGGTTGAGGTAGCGACTCTCGCGCTGCTTCTTGATCAGTTATGTATTTTCTGCTCTGTCATGAAGATTTTTCCAAGTTATGGTTGGCATTACTGTTGGCCCTGCTCTTATTAAGTTCTTTGTGTGTATTTCTGGTGTCCTGCATTGGTCAAGTTGAATTCCGAAATTTTATGGACAAAAGAAAGTGAATAAAAGGGTGTTTGGTTAGTCTTGGATGAGTAACGTTGATAATTCATTGTCTTCTGCTGGCTAAAAGTTACTGTCGAATTATATTTTTGGTATTCTTGAATGCAAGTTAAATCACCTTTCTGAATACTTTAACGATATATGAATGTATCTAATGCTTTATTGTTTTGGTATTTTTGATTGGGAAAAGGACAAATATACCCGAACTATTGTAAATGATATACAGATATTCTCCGTTACACTTTTGGGACATTGGTGCCTCTGTCGTCTAACAACTAGAGCATATAAACCTTTATACTAACATATGCCAGTTGACACCAATTTTAGCCCTCCACAATATGGATTAATTATCGAGTTTCTTCAATTTCAAATGATTTGAAATAATTAATTTTATAAAAATTTAAAATATTTTCAAGTTCTTTTAAAATAATTATTTCATTTTTATAATTTTTAAATAATATATATATTCCTATATAATTATGTATATAATTACCACCTAAATATTCGAAAATCGTCTTAAAAGATTTTTATTTTTAATCAAATATTTTGTTAATTAGTTTAGTTTAACTATGATTATTTTTTTTAGTTAATTAGCTTAAAATTAAGTTAATTATTTTATTTTTTAAGATTGAGAAGCTAATTAGTTAATATTAATTCATTTTATTTAATATTTAATCGAATTCGTCAATTAAATTCAATTTTTGGATAAATTCTTAATTCTTCTGGCCAAATTTGCAATCTATTAGCCAAGTGTTAAATTCAAATCTAGCCAATTTTTCTTCAAGCTTAACTCTCTTCTCAGCCAAAATTTGAGACCAATTAGGCCCAAATTTACAATACCAAATCGGCCCAAACCTCTCTTTCTCATTCAATACGATCAATATAGGGAAAATTGTATATAATAGCAAACTATTAATTCAAATTAAATGCTATAATCATAGTTTGATTTAATTGTACCCCATAGCAAACTGTTGCTATTTCGCCTCTCTCCTGGTGAATTTTGCTCGCCACTCTCGTTCTCTCCCTCGCCTCTCTCGCTTTTATACAAATGCAAATGTATAAAATGCGTTTGTGTTTGTATAAAGCGAGAGAAAATTGTATATATACATATATTTTTGTTCCCCTCTCTCCCCTCTCCCAGATCTTGTTCGCCACTCTCCCAAATCTCGCTCGCTCATTCACCTCTCTCAATTTATACAAAAACGCAATTGTATAAAATGCGTTTGTGTTTGTATAAAGCGAAAGAAAATTGTATATATACATATATTTTTGTTTCCCCTCTCTCCCCTCTCCCAGATCTCGCTTGCCACTCTCCCAGATCTCGCTCGCTCACTCGCCTCTCTCACTTTATACAAACACAAATGTATACATTGCGTTTGTGTTTGTATAAAACGAGAGAAAATTGTATATACAAATACATATGCATATATTTTCGTCCTATACACTTATGATTATACAAATACGATATTTCCCTGCCCAGTTTTCTTTTATTTTTTTCTCTTTCTCGCTTTATATAAACACATATTATACAATTGATCTTTTGTATATGTATACCAAAACAGATTATACAACTGCTTTCTTTTGTATATGTATAGCAAAATATACATATTTATGTTTGCTATGGAGCGCAATTATGCAAACAATAGTTATAACATACAAACATGATTTTTATGTTTGCTATATGTGAAAGTTACAACAATTTAAAGCACCCCCAATACAATACAACACGACGCGATACATTTTGAAACAATACGTAACAACTATCCAAACGAAGTGTAAAGACCCAGCAACATAACCGTTAACATTGGTTTGGATCGTTTTAACTATTAAGGGGTCGTTTGGTAAATATATTTTAAATAGAGTGGATTAGTTATGCTTGCATTAATTATACAATTTTTTTTTTGTATTGTTTGGTTTGATACATTAAAAATAACATGCATTACATATAAAAAATATTTACAAAGATACCCCACTATTATGGTGGAAAAGATGTAAAAAAGGTCTTGAGGGACAGTTTGATTTTTAATTAATCATGTTAATGTATGCATTAAAATATTATATTGCTAATATTTAAAAATACATAGTATTAATTATACACACTTTAATATACAATAGTGTATAGTTATACATAAGGTGAAATTCTACTACTAATTGATTTTGAAATATTAGATGCTATTATTTCTTATCCAAATTAAATAACTAAACCAAAGAAGTTACAATAAATTAAAATTAATTGTGAAAGCAAAGTTTGCATTGGAAACCAAAGCGTTGGCTTATATGCATGAAAAAATGAGAGTTATTACGTTTGGTTTTCGAGGAATTTTGATAAGCATGCATGCATGCAAAAAAGAGTGTCACCTTTTGGTTTCTCAAGAAATTCTGATAAGCATGAATTTGACTCAGTTTATGTGATATTATTTAAATTTCGAGAGTTAAATTTATTAAATTATTAAACAAAAATTGAAATGGAATTTACACACTTAAAAATTATATAAAAAATACTACTATAGAGTAACACTTTTGTTTGTCATATTTTATTTTTTGAGAGTCAAACTATAAGATCGATTTTGTCAATATTTTAAGATGTATTTTATTATCATATTAATATAAACTAATTGCAATTTATTATATTTTCAAATAGTTTCGAATATCAATATTTAAAATTTAAAATGTTGAATATATCTAATTCAATTTAGCTACGTCAAAGGACTCTGGAGTCTTGATCGTAAACGATACGTCATGTAAATGTGAACAAAGAGAGTATAAGTTATGATATTCATAAATTTCTCTCGAAATTTGAAGAGTACCACATAAATTGAGATGAAAAGAATAATATGTATAATTAAATTAGACCTTATCTAGAAAAACAAGGTGAATAACTCTCTCTATATAAGGGAGAGCGTCGATAAAGAGATTATTATAATTTGTTCGAGAGTGATATATATCAACTATTATACGACAATATAAAATGCCAGGTGGCAAAGGCGGCGGTGGTGGTGGTAAGGGAGGCGGCGGTGGATGTGGTGGTGCTAAAAGTGGCGGTGGTGGCGGCGGTTCTGCCAAGGGGAGTGGTAGTGGTGGCGGCGGAGGGTCAATGAAGGCGCCAGGTGGCGGCGGCGCGTACATTTCAAGGGGAGGCTTTGAGAGTAACCCACAGGGTTACTTCTCTGGTCTCCACTCTGGAGAAAAGGGGAAATGATCATGCTTTATTTTAAATAAAATAAATAAATATGCCTATTAGTGTGTGTTTAATTTCCATGTTTTTTTTTTGGGTTTTATTATGATGTTTTGGTAAGAATTATGGAATATTTTGCAGCATGTAAAATAGTTCTACAAAGTTTATATGCAAAGTAATGAAGTAATATATGTGGATGCATGGTTTTTTGTTGTTATAAGTTTTCTTGTATTTCTGTTTTTTCCTTGGATTGTTATTCTTTTAAGTCGAAGAGCCATCTAAAACAACATAGGAAGTAAATGATTGAATTTTTTCATATCACACTTTGTGGAACTATATTAGATATGTTATTGGAGTAATTTTTGTCTCCTATAAATTACTAGTGTGGGTGATTCTTCATTTTTTTTTAAAAAAATATTCTAATAAAATTCATTACATTAATTCAATTTTTTAAATTTACATTAGTAACTATTACCAAAGTTTTATAAGGTGCAAATTAATTCCAGTGTTACTTCTTCGGTCTCCACTCTGCATAAAAAGGGAAAATGATTATGGTTTAAAATTAATTTTCTTTTAAATTTATTTATTAGTGTTTATTTTTACAAGTTTTATTCTTATGTTGGTTTGATAACTTTTGCGTGACATTTGTGGTTTGGTAACTTTATTAGAAAGCTCTACAAAGCGTATATGCATAGTAATTGAGTATTAACATATGTATAACTCCTATGTGTTATGGTTCTTTCTTGTTCATTATAATTCGTTTTAGCTCGAGTTGTTCATATTCTCATATTTCCAATTGTCCTTTTTGATTATCTATCATTGTGTCCAAAGCATGTGTATTGTGTAAATTAGAGGTGAAGTCACAATTTGAAATTTATAAATATAATATTTTTATTTTTTAAATTATTACTCCCTCTATCCCAATTTATGTGACTTACTTTTCTTTTTAGTCGGTCTCAAAAAGAATGACACATTTCTATATTAAGTAACAATTTAACTATAAAATGTCTATTTTACTCTTAATGAAATGATTTACATAATTCATTTTGGACCACAAATTTTAAAAGTCTTCCTTTCTTTCTTAAATTTCGTGCCGAGTCAAACTACCTCACATAAAATGAAACGGAGGGAGTATGTTCTAAATTAATAATTTATAAATATTAAATAACTTTTAAAGACAAATACATCATTTGGATGAACTAATAGTGAATTTGGCTGAACTTCTATCTTGAATGCTAGTTTTGCCCCTTGGCTTATTTTGTGATGTATATCTTATAAAGTTTTTTTGTGGTAGTCTTTCCTTTGGGTGTGGTGATAGTCTAAGATATCATGTGTATTTTGTTTTCCAAAGCTTATAGAACTTCTATCGTGTGCATCTCTTTTTTAGAAGTCTGCGCTTAGAAATTCAATCCATTTTCCTTCATTTTTCTGATCACATCACTATTTCAATACAACACATTTATAAAATAGCTATAATTTTTTTAGTACTATGTAAATTTACTATTAAATAATATTATAATTTTGTTAAGTAATTATTTTAAAGTATGATTTTAACTTTTAAAGAGTAAATATAAAGCTTACGAGAAGAATGGTAACAATTGAACAAAAATTGATCATCATCATATTACAATTGTGCTTCAAAACTTTATGATTTTTTTTGTATGAGTATCTCATTGCTTTTATATGATCACAATTTATAGACCTCTTGTGAATTTATGATGTATATTGCAACAAGTTATGATCATATGGTTAAAAGATTGTCAGTAGTACATAGAAGAACTCTCCCTTTTCTCACTAGGTATTCGGTATTCTATTAGAGCTTGATCGACATTATTTATGATTTCACATCGGAAATGAAGTGCATTATGCACACCACCTACCTACTCATGACTCGAATTCAAGATCTCTGGTTAATGATTCATATAGAAATTTTATATATGTGCCCTTAAATATGAGGAGGACGTAATTAATTGATAGAACAATTTGTCCATTCTTCTTTGTTGCTGGAGGATTTTGTGAATTTCTGCTTCTTTGCTTTTACCCATAAAAGAATATACATGCCAATTATAACCAAAATGGATCCCAATAAGCTGTTAAAACAAAAAAAAAAAAATTTAGTACCAGTCAAACAATTTTTTTCCTCTGTTTAACACATTTTTCTTTTACTTTTGTTCCCAAAGGATGAAACACTTCTAAATTTATAGAAATAGTTAACTTTGTACTTCGCATTTTATCCTTAATGCGAAACTTTTATAACCTTATGAATATTATTGTATATTTAACGCCATTAGTTTCAAAAATTTGATCATCACACAAATTCTATGACGTATTCAGGGGCGGGAAACTAGAGTAGTACTATAGGAAGTGAGTTCAGTAGAACCTAATAGTTTTGGTTCAAACTTATGTATCTTTTCTTAAGAAATCCATTTGATATGTATATCAGTTTAGAACTTTGAGAATTGAGAGGACTAAAATTTTTGAACTTGTAAGCTTTAAATCCCAGCTCCACTTTAGATAACAAATTTCAAGAGCTGTAAGTTCTTTCTTAAATTCTTTACTAATTCAAACCATGTCAAATACATTGAATAAAGTGACTATAAATGCAGATGTAAAAACTGCACCTTTATGCTTTACACACCATGACATTTTATCCCACCATACCCTGCATTCATAATCCGGAAAAATAGTTACGTGTTTGGATGAAAGTGCTAGTTTCATACGATACTGAATGATGCTTATCGAGTTTCTTTAGCTCGTTATGCTCACATTAAATGGGATTTTCTTACTCTGTTACTATTTGTTTTCTAGTCCTGTGTAAAGAAGGAAAATGTATATTAGGACCACAACTATAGAATTTTGAACAAAAAGATAGTTATGACACATATATACTTTTGTATACAGATTCTTTCATATTATGAAAAAAAATTTGATTCTTTTAGACTAGGAATGAAAGAGAAATAAGTAAAATTAGCTAATACCAAAAGAAAATTTATTGTTTAAACTCCTAAAATCAAAACTAAACAGAGAAAGGAGTGTTGAAGATCCATATAGGTGGACTGAATCTATGATATGATTTACCAGTATAGTGAGGCTCAATTGTATCGTCAAGCAAGTTATATATGCCCATGCCTTGCCGCCTCCTTTTTCACTTAAATAGTATGCCGTAGAACAATCATCAGTAAAATATATATGATTGGCCTTGCATCCATACTGTTCAACAACGGCAGTAGAGGCACTAAACCCGAGAAAGATTGCTCTGTTTCCCAAATCATCAACCTCTTCATAACTCTCTTTATCCACATCAACCCTGGAAACGATGAATTCTTCAACGCCATATAAATTTGTTTCAGGATGTTTTTCAACTCCATTTCGAGTGATGACAAATAGTTCACCTAAAGAGTGCACAATGTAAAGTTGCATTCCATAGATAAACTCAGAAGGCACTCCTTCAACAATCCTTTTAATGGGTCGTTCTAATCCTCTTCCTCTAAAGTCAAAAATCACAACGTTTCCTTGAAAATCAACTCCATAAAACTGTTCATCATGATACGTTACATCAGAATAAGCCCCTTCATGTGTCACTGTGATGAACCCCGTAATGAACGAGGAACTCCTTGATTAATCATCAAAATATAATCATCATTTGTATGAGGATCGGAAGAAAGTAGTGCTTTTTCAACATAATACTCGAATTCTAAATGATAATCTAAGTCGAAATTCTCCAGGGTATTCATGTGGGGCAATTCTATTAGACAACGAGAATTGAGGTGGAACAAATTCATATTCCCTTTGAGATCAGCTGTGAAAATCCATCCTGGAATTCCTACACCCAAACAACGTTTTCCGACTAACTCTGGAAAATTCATAGTGTAGGTAACACCCTTTATTAAGTCGAAAAACTCACGTGATTCTTCCTTTCCTGGTTTCTCAGCCAGCATCAACAATGGGACTGGACATGCAATAACCATCTTTACGTAACGATTTAAACTTTATGAATTCAGAATTCTAAGATTGTGAGTGCGATTGATAGAATTGCGATTGATAGAATACAACAAACCTATCTAAATTGCCTCCCTTTTATAAGCCTTGAGGAACATAAATTCAATCCAAATTTGGTGTTTCTGAGGTTTACGTATTTCTTTTGGACAACGTTACTTAGGTTTACTACAAAAAAAAAAAAAGATTTCCTTTTTGTTTTGGGATTTAAACAAATCTTTTGTTACTTCGACTTTCCTTCCTTTTCCTAATTATCCTAAAATTAGCTTGGCAACTTCTAAAATTTCTATACGAGGGCGGCTCAACGTGATTGGGGCATAAAGTGAAATTTCAATTTGGGGCCTAAAATATAAGCACCATATACGTATTTATTCAAAAAAATAAATTCTTACACTATTTAGATGAAATTATTAGTATTTTAATATTGTTTTTTCGGTTATTAATTTTAGGTAAGATTTTATCAACTCAACATTGGAAAACATCCTTTCAGTGAGGCAATTATTGTATGAATTGTTAACATAATTATATAAGTAATAAGTTGACAAATATTAAATAAAGATAAGAGTTAGAACCATAGAATTTGATGCAAGAAGTTGATGACTTTGTAAACCCCATTTTAATATGCTTGTAGTAATGCTTGAAACTAAAATTTAAAAAGAAATAAAAAAAAATTGTAATTCACTTTGTTCAACATTTTTCACTATTAATTCTTATTTTTAACAAATTACAAAAGATGTTAAAGTGGGTAAAATAATATATTTAAAAAAAATATACTTTTTGTCATAAATAATCAATTTTTTCTATAGAAATTTTAACACATAATTTATTCTTGATAAAAATTTGGGGCCACCGAAATTTGGGGCCTAATTAAGGCAAAAGTCTTATTTCCCACAACATAGAGCCGGCCTGTTTCTATACATGATTCATGATATCTTTCAGATATACAATGTATCATAATATAATGAATACGTTAAAGAATTACATATTTCTTTGATATTTTATGTTTGAACGACTTCCCTTCAACAACAATATTGCTATTGGAAGAAGAAATATATAAATACATTTATCGTTAATTAAAATCCTTATTTGATAAGGATAATCATAAAAGCGCAAATTTGAGGAAACCTCTCATTTGAACTTGGAGAAACTAAAAGTAAATTGTGTTAAATTGATAGAGTCATGACGGTGGGAGAGAAATAAGATAGTAAAGGTGAGAGAGGAAAAAATTAGTCGGATATAATTTTTAATTATGCCTGAAATAGAGGAATGTGTATAACCATGTAAATTTACTACTAAAATAATATTATAGCTTTATTAGATAATTATTTTAAAGTATTGTTTTAACTTTAAGGAGTAAAGTTGTGTAGAATTACCTTATAGAATTACCTCACATGAACACATTGAAAGGTTTCGATTGTGATAATGAACTCGGTTACTGTGAGTATTACGTTCAAAAAGCACTGCTTTCTTCGGATCCTCATACAACCAACGATTATATTTTGATGATTAATCAAGAAGTTGCTCGTTCATTAGCTTATTGGAAACCTGGAAAAGACACCTTTATCACAGTTGAAACGCGCAAAACTGCTTATGCTGATGTTATTTGGGATAATGGACAGTTTTATGGTGTTGATGTTCGAGGAAACGTTGTAATTTTGGATTTTAGAGGAGGATTAGAACCAACTATTGGAAGGATAGTTAAAGGAGTGCCTTCTGAGTTTATCAGTGGAATGCAACTCTACATTGTGCATTCTCGAGGTGAACTATTTGTAATCACTCAAGATGGAATTTGTAACCATCCTGAAACTAAGACATATGGTGTTCACAAATTTGTTGTTAGCAAAGTTGATGTTGATAACGAGAATGATGAGGAGGTTGTTGATGATTTGGAGAACATATCACTCTTTTTGGGTTTAGTGCGTCTTTGGCCGTTGAATAGTACGCAAGGCTAATCATATATATTTTACTGATGATTGTTCTACCGCGGACCATTTCAGTGAAAAAGGAGGTGGCAAGGACATGGGCATATATAACTTGCTTGACGATACAATTGAGCCTCACTATACTGGTGAATTATATCACAGATTTAGTCCACCTATATGGATTTTCAACACTCCTTTTTCTGTTTAGTTTTGATTTTTTAGTATTTGCTGAGTAACTATTTTTTTTGTTGTGTTACTCGTAGTAACTACTTGTTAATTTATCTTTATTTCCTAGTTTCCTTTTTGTTTTGATACCTTTTAAACAAGAAAGTTGGAATGTAATGACTTATAAGCTTATGGTTTATTGCACTTCTACAATTCTGTTTTGTCCAGTGTTTTTTTGGCCCTGATCAAGTCGAGATTCGATTAACTGAACTATTGAGATTATAAGATTCATAACCTCTTCTTCCATGATACTGCAATCAGAAAATTCAAGAAAGGAAAAGTGAACACAAATACAACAAATCCAATTACTGTCGGGAGTGCAACTTCTCAGACAAATATTAAATTGTGAAAGTAGTCTCCTCTCGAATCATGAGAAATCGTGATCAACACACCGTGCAACTATGACTTATGCCTTTGAAAACCACAACATATTAACTGAATATTTCTGATGATGAGCTATGGTTCGATCTTTAGTAATAATGATTGATTTATAAGATTTGTTAATTTTACATTATTTTTAGAACAAAATCATGCTGGTGCTTTCGGGAAGGAGGAAAGGAAACTTCGATCAAAAAATCATTATTATCTAATGCTAATTAATTCTTGAGACTGAAAACTTAATTCAACAAGTGAAAGTAGACTCCTGATCCCCTAAATTAAAGTTAAAAACGGATTTTCCCGTCAACATTAATTCTCTAAAATTATTTCAATATAGATTATATTATACCATGGTTCATCATATTAAATAAGGATGATATCCTAAAATTTGATAAAAAATTATTTGGAAAATGCCACTATAATTTTCTAAAATTAGTAATTTCTTGCTTTATTATTTATTTTAACTAGTATTATATCATCATGGATGGGAGTATTGTTTTAATTTATAGATTAAGATGATTTACAAAAATTATTTATTAGCATTATAAGTCTAATTTGGTAATTAAGGATAAAACTATATATATAAATATGAGTTAAATAAATTCATTTTGTAATTTTGTATTACAGACTTCCTTCGTTAACCTCGAGCAGAATCTCCGGAGATGAGCATTCCAACCGGAGAAATCGCCGGAGAGGACTTGTTTGCACTGGCAACTGCAGCCGCCGATGACCTTTATAACTTTCGCGACAACTGTTTCCGCTTAACTTCGGAGGAGAGAGACTCCAAATTGCAAAGCCAATCTGATCTAGCTCTTCAAATCCTCGATAAAATTCCTATAGGTAAATTCTCTGTATTATTCAAGCTAACTTCTGCTGAAGTAGTAGGAATTGCGTTGAGTTCGGATTGTGTTTGTGATAAATTTCTGCAGAAAAGAGGAAATTGCCACTTCAACGTGCAACCTATGAGTATCTAAGAGGGAAAATACTGGATGCAGTTCCTGTATATAAGAAGGAAGCTGAGGATCATCTGTCTAAAGCTGTGAGTGAAAGATAAATACAGAAAACTAATTTGATGTCCTAAATATGCTTTGTTATTTAGTTAGTAGCATTGTTATTTGAAGTGTTTGTCGATTTGTTCGTTTTAGGTTAAGTTGAATCCATCTCTTGTGGATGCTTGGCTGTGTCTGGGTAATTGCATTTGGAAGAAAGGAGATTTAAATGCAGCTAAAAACTGCTTTACGTTTGCTCTTGGCAAGGTGGTTTATGCTGCTGCTACATTTGTTACTATAAGATTTTAATAGTGAACTATTATATAAAAGGTCTACACATATAATGTTTCCATTTGTTGATGTTTTCAGGGTCCAAATAAGAAGATTCTATGTCAACTATCAATGCTTGAAAGGAAACTGTCTCATGGTGAATATTGCTTTATGCTATGAGTTTTTTTGTTCCTTAACGAGCATCATAAGTACATATATAATAGACCTTTTCTTTTGATAAGGTATATATGTATACTAGTACTGAATAGTGAATAGGAGGAAATGTGACCATATGAAGGCTTTCTTTTACCGAGTGACCAAACCTAATGAAGTTGGGTACAACCATATAGAACTTCAAACTGAATGATTTATTATGTATAAGTACATATATAATAGACCTTTTCTTTTGATAAGGTATATATGTATATAGCTAAAGTAAAGACTGTATATTTAAGCTTTCTTGTCTGTATTTTTGCTTATGGTGAAAAGTTAACATCTTCGCTGGCATTTCTTTTCCTAAGAAGGCTGATCATACTTTGTTCATCTATATTTACTTTGCAGATGCTGAAAATCCAGAAGAAATTGTTGATGAAAGCATCAAACATGCCAGGGAAGCAATCACTTTGGATGTCAAGGATGGATATTCTTGGTGTAAGGAATCTAGTTTAAAGGAGACACTTCCTTAATTCTGAGCTCTACATCCCTTAGATATGTTGTTACGACCATTCTTTGTTCAACCACTATCTACTTCTTTATTCACCTTTGACCTAGTGCTTGTCAATGATATTAAGTCCATGTTTGCCTTGCTCTAAAACATGTTATAGCTTAGAAGTAAAATGTAGTTTCTATACACACTCAATGATTAAGGCATGGCAACAACAACAACAACAACATGCCCAGTGAGATCCCACTAGGTGGGGTCTGGGGAGGGTAAATTGTACGCAGACCTTGCCACTACCTCGTGGAGGTAGAGAGGCTGTTTCCGGGAGACCCTCAGCTCAAGAACAACAAATCTAAGTGACAGGAGAGATATAAATAAAACATAACAGCCAATACAAACGATAGCGTATAATCAACAAATGAGACAGTAACAACAAGAAAGTAATGCGATGCGTGAAACGCAGTAAACAGCATAAGGCTAGGTCTACTCCAAATGCTAACAACCCATACCCTTGCAAGGGAAGACAACACGCTAGCCCTACTAACCTACAACCTTAATACGAGACCTCCACTCCTTCCTATCTAGAGTCATGTCCTCGGTAAAGTGAAGCATATCCAAGTCTTGTCTAATCACCTCCTCCCAATACTTCTTGGGCCTACCTCTACCCCTCCGCGTACCCTCTACCACCATTACCTCGCACCTCCTCACTGGGGCGTCTGCGCTCCGTCTCTTCACATGTCCAAACCATCTCAGTCTCGCTTCCCTCAACTTGTCCACCACAGAGGCCACTCCC